CGGTAAAAATGTACCGATTTAAACAAACGAGACATTATTGTAAAGCGCATTGCACCTGCTGCAAGCTGTAGAGCGTCAACAGATTTGCCTGATCCCCATAGGTCTCTTTTTGGACATTTGCTTGGAAGTGATTTCACATGATCTGGCACCAGTGGACCGTGAATCTGGCCAATTCATGGCGGTAACGAGCTACCAGTTGATATTTTCTATGAAATTTAAAGACACCAACATACGTTATAGCCTTCGGCAAAACACATTTGATACTCATATCTTAAATTTCAGGCGTGGCAAACGGCTTATTGGGCCTCGTTCCAAGTGGAATTTTTACATCAGCCGGGGCCCTCAAGGCGCCCGTTGGTTGGTGTGCTGGCGCGAGGTCGGACCAGAAGATCGCCTTCTGGTTACATATGTTGTTTTGCATGAACTTCTAGTACTAAATGATAAATTTGGCTACAAAAGTATCATATTATATAGGACCAGCCTGGAGGAATGAAGTCGAACTGCTGATATGCTTTGAAATGACACATACACCATAGCATCCGACGTTAGCTTGCATACTGACACTTAGATGGACGTTAGCTCTTGTGTCATCGATAGCATCCCTACAGAACACTCCATTGTCTAGTTAATTGTCACCCTTTAACTAAAAACATAATTTTTCTTCCTTAAATAGTTCGACTTTTTTTCTGAAATTTTTGGCCCTTTCTTGACCATTGCATATTTACATCTATTGCCTTATGCTGTTCCCGGTCGCTTCGAGAAATCATTTACGCCGTTTGTTACTCAGCCTAGCCTCAGGTGTGTTATATCTTCTTCGTGTTGGTACAGCTGATACCTTACTGATCAGCAGCATTGCACCGTGAGGTGCCAAAAAGCCCCTCCACGTGCATTTTCGGGGCCCCGACCTTTCCTCAGGTCAATATCTTCGCAATAACACCACTTCAGCTTTTCGGACTCCCACACCCACATAGAACTTTCTTTCCACCATGCAGTATGTAACTAAGTTCGACATTATAAGTTTTCATTAGGTATTTGTACGTCCGAGACTCTCCCATTGACGCACTTCTTTGGGACGGCCTGCCAGTGGGCTTTCGGTGGTCCTTATTTAAAGCGACCTCCTTCGCGACAGTTTTGATTATATCCGTGAAATTTTATGCTCGATATGATGAGAAATGTTCCTTTTATCTTTATGGTAAGTTGCGTCGAAATAGCTTGCTTCGCTTTTGATGTGCAGTTATTCAAAATTTGTGTCAATTTTTAGTGAACACCCTATAAGAGCATTTGAAGCTAAATTAGTTTTTCCGTAGAACTGTAGGATGAAAGAGGAAAACCGTTACGCCAAGCGAGTGTCCATGAGATGGTGTGGTTGCAGTGCACCTTAATTTTCAGAGCTGCCTTTTAACCAGTTTAGCGGTGCAGCAATGGATGCCCTCAGTCCGCCCACAGTCGTCAGTGCCCGATGAAAACACCTGTCAGCGCTGTATTTCGGGACAGCGAGCTTTGTGACGATGAATGGCCAACGCTGAACCACAACCATGGCTATTGTGACTCTAATTTCAGGTGCAGCCACCAACAAGGCTGGTGTGAAATTCGACACACCATATGAATGCCATGCACAATTGAGTGGTTCTAGAAAAGGCGATAATATATCTTGAAAAGGCAAAGCGCACATTGCTGCTAGCATCAGCTCTGGAGCAAGCCAATAACATGTGGCATAAAATAAAAACGTAAAAATATGCTGAGAAAGAACACCGACTGTCACTTAAAACCGCCATTAGTGTGCTGCAGCAGCATCTGCTTCTAGCCCCTACCATCTGCAACTGTTGGTGGCTAATTACAAAGCCAGCCCTCCAGCCACTTATGGTTATTGTCCACTGTCGTTTCCTTAGTTTCATTTCCGTGGATCTGGTCTAGTCGTGTCTGCGCGGCACTGGTCTGTGGTCTGCAGTCAGAGCTGCAGGTCCAGTTGGATTCAAAGTCCTTTTGGGTTCGAAGTCCTGTTGAGTTCGCCGTTCAGTCCGGTGCGTCCGGCGCCGGTCCGCCGCCGGTCCGTAAACTACCGGCGGAGCGCCCAGCTAGTGACCGTAAGCAGGCCCTCCTCCGGTGCTCGGGAGCGGCCGCGGCTTACCGGTCGTCTCACCGTCGGTCGGCCGGTCCGTGTGCAGTTGATGGTCCGTTCAGGGAGTGATAACAAGGCGCCGCCGCCGCCAGCCGAGCCGACCAGGAAGGGGTGCTTACTCTCGTTTGACTTCACAATGCTTATCTACCAGCTTAAATCCTCAGAAGCGAAATAGCGCGCTAGGACGAACCCACATACAACAATACGGCCGGTCAGGCCATTCGAAGTCGTACAGTATACGAAACAAACACAATAGTCCTGTTAATGTGTAAAAACAAACATTTGGGTAGTACGCATTTTGGTACCACTGCTCTCCCAAAAACTATTCTATATTTTCCTTTCATGAACATTGGATCCTTCTATTTATAAACTACGGTCATGCGAGCATGTAGCTGCATACTATAAATATAATATTTCCTAGGGAGAGTTCAAGCTGTGCAAATAAAACGTAGGCTTTATTTAGCCATGTTCGCAATATCCAACGGTAAGCAGCTTAGGGAATAGGATCGTCGCTCTAATACTCTTCCTTGATTGCATTAGCTACCAGACTACAGTGTAAGAACAACCAGCTACCGTTCTTTGGGTACTGCCGTAAGTGGGGAGGCTATTTCAGAACAGTGAATGTGGCTTGTTTTATCCACGCTGATAATTAATATCGATTCGAAACGGCAGAAGCGGGTCGGGAACAGAGAAAATGAGGGGATGGGGCGAAGGCGGTGAGTCGTCAGTTGAGTATTGACCTGACGTTTGGCTGCACAGTCCACAACAGCCCAGCCACCGACACCCTCCCACCCCTCCCCTCCTCCCCTCCACTGCATCATCCCACAGCAGCCCAACAAGCAAACCACCACACCCCATCCCTCCCCGCCCCCTCCCCTACACCGTCCGGCTCTCTCCGACACTCACATTGGGGCTCAGTTTTCAGAACCAATCGACAACTTTTCAGCCGTGTTGGCCAGCCGTACACAACAAATTCTGAGAAATTACATCAATATGCCGATGCGCCTCGTATAGGGGAAGCCCCTCAACACGAGTTATATTAAAAAGTAAATAGATCCTAAGTGGATGAATTCATTATACAGCTGCGCATTTCCATAAATAACTTTCCCTTCTTTTCATCCTAATGATTGAGCATTGATTTGAATTCGACGAACAATTAGTAAGCGGTAAATAAAGTGCACCAAAATCAGTGAGGCGCAGCTAGCTTTTCAGTAGCAGCCCCGTCTGTATGTCCGGCGACTTTCCCAACTGCTGTGGCCTGGGAGGCTTGGCTGCCCTGACCACCAGTCGGCGCGGCGGCCCGGGCGCTGATTCGTCTGCTCGGTGCACTGATAGAGTGATGGATTACTGATGACCGGTCACGGTGCCGGCACGCCCCGCCAAAGGTCGCCGCCGCCATTGGTCGATATCGGTTTTACGGCCGCCGCGGCACGCGCACGGTAGGTATTTCGGTCGGCAGCAGGGGTGCACTGCTCGCGGCGGGACGATAACGTTGGCCGGGCCGTTAATCAGAATTAGCAGCAGACTGGCTACTCGGGGTCGTTAAGTTTGATTGGATTTACTTTTACTTTGTGTTCTAACGCAAATATAGTCGCGGTTTTCAATGATAAGCAAACATTAGATATGAAGGAAAATGTCGATTTTATTCGTTCGTTGTTGGTTTAGCCTCTGGGTATACGAGCTGTGGCAATTGTTTATCACGCTGCGATATAAAATGTTTGCCAATGTGCCATCCAGAATATCCCAGATTTTTATGTGTGATTAGAATGTATCCATTGGATGTCGCTGACCTGTTGAATATGTTAAAATCTGTTTCATATCTAAAATAATTGTTTTTAAATTCTGTCATTATAAATCCGGCACCATTTGCACCATTTAAAGAAAAGAGAATATCATACGACCTCAGGTCTTTCACGGGTAGCGCCTGAAATAGCTGCGCCGGTCATGACCTCACTCAGAAAGTGCAGGCTCTCTTTCCGTGCAGTTTGCAGCCCCCACTCGCCACAATGGCGTACCATTAGCCATTCGGTCAGTCGGCGGCCACCATTAACCATCCAGCACCATCTCGGCTCTTGGGCGAAACCTTTGGCGAGTTAGCGAGGCCAAACGGCCCGGGGCCAGTCGTTAAAGCTGCAGCCATACACGTAATGCTTCCTGCTCATCGCTTCCCCTCGGCGCGATGGCCGCCGGCTCATTACTCGAGCGGCCACATTCATGGATGCCGCCGCCGCCGATCGCGGGCCGGCCCGCGGATCGGGAAGAACCGGGTAGGGCTCGGGTCAGATCGGGCTCGGAACGGGCCAGCAGCGCCGGCCGCGGCCCGTAATGTGTGTCACGGGGGCGGAGAGGGACACTCGTGTGAGTTGTGGTGGTGGTATCACCAGTTGAGCAGAGAGACACGAGGCCGAGGCTATCGGAATGGTCATCGAGAACCGGGCGCTGACAGACTTCCCCCACGATGTATTGCAGCCACATTATCGGCGACAGTCTCCATGCCTGATCTGGGAGGAAAATATATTGACGTTGTTTGTAAAGTGCAGTGTTGGAAGGGCAGGGGTTCAAACGATCTGTAACGTGGCAGTCAACTGCTTCCCCGCTGACTGATTCAATTCATCGAAGTGTGAAATCAATGGTACTTTATAGACCATAGCAAACAATAACCAGTAGCGGATACCTGTGAGGACGCTACCGGCTACAGAGACTCAAGTTTCGTGAATGCCGCCGGTGTGATAAGCAGTTGAGGTTAGGTGACCTTAGCGAACATTTAAGGTTGGGGACTGCTAAATGTTTAACATTGTTAGCTAGTCTTTTCTACATATCTAATATGCCAAGAGTATCCAGTAGGTATATAGTTGAAAGTGACCCATTTTTCTCTTTGCAGGTGTAACGGCGATTGCTGACTGTCATCCCGCCACAAAGTAAGTAAGTGAGATTCTTTTGGAGTTACTAACCATTTTCAGTTGGGATGTCGCTTGTGTGTCTTTTAGTCTAAAAAAAAAAAACTGTTCAATAACAGATTTGTTCGAAAAATATCATCCTGGGTTATTCGCTTTGACATTGTTTTGACAGTTCACTGGGCATTACTCCCCGCGAAACACACACGCAGACAATCCCCTATATATCGAGTGGGCGATACCTTGTTATTGACGTGCCGGCGCTAATTTCGCTCGGCGCCGTGTCGGGTTGGGTGCGGTAAAGTCGCCGGTGACGGTGCCGTCCGCTGGCGGCCGGTCTAATCGGACCGCGATCGGTCGCCGGGCCGTGGTTTATCTCCGTGTTATCGCGCCGCGCCGGCTGGGCGAGCCGCGCCTCCGCTCTCCGGCGCTGCGCCGCCGCTCTCCGGCGCTGCGTCATCCACTGTGCGCCGATCCGACACCGGCCCTGTTTACTTGCCGTCGAGCGCAGCCGATCAGACTATTTTGCAGCCATTCTTAGCGAGACCAGCTCGCGCCCAGAAAGCCGCATTCCATTTCACAGAGGGCTGCAGATGCGGCTCTGGAATAGCAGATGCTTTCGGATTTCGCCAGTATTATGCCCCTCTCTTCCTCGCCTGCTCTGGCGCTCTCTGGCTTCCAATCTCTGCCATCGGGCTCCCGCGCACACCTACATCGGCAGCGATGGCAATATCTCCATATCTAAATTGCATTGCTGCAGACGTAGCGAGAGAGAAACAGCCAGCGGATGAGGCCAACTGAAATCCTAAAGGTAGCACAATAACAATATCGACAGAATTCCACCCACACTCCAGAGGCAGCGAGTGCCAGTCAGCACCACGCACCACTGGCGGATCCAGGGGGGAGGGCCACGGGGGCCATGCCCCCCCCCCCAAGGCCTAAAGTGGCCTGTTTGGCCCCCCGAAAACGTCAGAAAAATTGCTAAGAAAATATACCTTGATGGAGGTTTTTAGCCACTTGGTGAAGTAAAGCTTTCCACAGTATAATATGGAAGCAATATGGTAGCAGTGAGGGTCAGTCAAAAGTTGCGCGAGCGGAGTCGACCTTAAAAAAAAAGACTGTTGTTGGCATGTGTTTATTGCGCGGCAGCTGATAGTTGGCGGTGTTTCGCGTGGTGTGGCATCACTGGCGGATCCGGGTGGGGGGGGAGGTGCCCCTGACAGGCCCGTGGTGCCCTTGCTAGGCCTGTGGTTCCCCTGGACCCTGGCAGGCCTGTGGTGCCTCTGGCGGGCCTAGGGTGCCCCTGCTAGGCTGCTGATGCCCCTGGGACCTGACAGGACTGTGGTGCCCCTGACAAGCCTAAAGTGCCCCCAACAGGCCCGTGATGCCCCCGACAGGCCCAAGGTGCCCCTGCGTGATGCCGTGATGCCTGCAAGGCCGGTGGTGCCCCTGCGAGGCCGGTGGGGCCCCTGACAGGCCCATGGTGCCCCTGCGAGGCCGGTGGTGCCCCTGCTAGACCGGTAGTGCCCCTGGCAGGCCTGTGGTGCCCCTGCTAGGCTGCTGGTGCCCCTGGGCCCTGACAGGACTGTGGTGCCCCTGACAGGCCCAAGGTGCCCCTGCAAGGCCGGTGGTGCCCCTGTAAGGCCTGTGGTACCCCTGCTAGGCCTCTGGTGCCCCTGACAGGCCCATGGTGCCCCTGCGAGGCCGGCGGCGCCCCTGGCAGGTATCTGGTGTCCCTGACAGACCTGGGGTGCCCCTGACAAGCCTGTGGGGCCCCTCACAGGCCCGTGGTGCCCTTGCTAGGCCTGTGGTGCCCCTGGCGGGCTGGTGGTGCCCCTGCTAGGCCGGTGGTGCCCCTGACAGGCCTGTGATGCCCCCGGGCACCAAGGGGGGTCATGAACCATGTGGCCCCCCTTAGATCTGCCACTGATACATAATATATTGATTTGTAAAGGCGTTATGGCTTATGCAATATGCAATTGCAGGCACTTGGTATCCCTCACTTATCCCTCATTGGGGGCTCTGGCGGGCTCCTGAGGGCCCACGTCTATCTCCGGGAGCCCTAGACAGGCTCCTTTGGGTTCTTTCAGTCCACTATAGCATAAGAGGTCTCCATGCGAGTCCTATACATCTGAGGGCGTACCCTGACGTCTGAGGTACCCAACTGCAGCTCCAATGGTCTCTTACACTTGCGGATCCAGGGAGGGGGCATTTAGGGCCATGCCCCCTTCCCAGAGGCCTAAAGTGGCCCGTTTGCCCCCTCCCCCAAACCATAATGAAACATAGTTCAATCAGTGCGTGGCCCAGGAGTCGAGTTAGACAGGAAGTGTTTTACCACCTCCCGGCCCGCAAAGGGACCCAAGCACTGACTCGAAGCGGTTTAACTGGTCGACAAAAGCAATGGTAAGTGTTTACAAAGTAATATAAAGGCATGGGTCGGGTGGGCTACCATTTATATATTTTTCTTTTTAGTTAAAAAAAAAATATTCATAGTGTCAGGGCTGTGACGAAAAATAAGTGGCCTAAATCCGATGAGAAAACGGGATTTGGGGGTACCCTAGGTTTGGCTCCTGCATGAGTTGCCCCCCCCCCCAAAACGCAAGCCTGGATCCGCCAGTGCCACGCACCATGCGCTTAAAACACAATGCGTGCGGTAACGGTAAACGACGTAGGTGCCTACCTGCATTACAACATACTGCACCATAACAGTACGATTATGACGTAATGATTATGTAATATTACGATGAAAACACACAAATAGGTTCAGTAGCCCTGACATGAACACATTGCCCACACAACTAACGACGTGCAAAACAAAGGCGCTCAGTGGCAGCATTGATGACGCAATATCGGTCGAGGTGCCGCATCAGCTGTATTTCAGTCGCTCCAATGACGTCATATATCCATTGTCTTAGTGCGCCACAATTGTGCACTGACAGCAGCTCAATGGCAGCGCTTTGTTATTTGTAAGCGGCAAGGCTGGGGACGTGTTTAGAACTTCACTTGGTTTGCTGGATACCACAGAAGAAACAGACTTCTGCAGAAAACAGCACAATACCGCATGGAAATTGAGACCTCTGTGCAGGATCACTGATAAAAAATGTTTTCACTGACTCTTATCAACTGCATACGGCATACCTATAATCAATACGAGGCGCTGAAACACAGCTTAGCTTATACTTGGGCGGTACTCAGGTTTGTGAGCTGAGACAAGTTCAGTTGGGACACGGAGCAAGACGAAAGTGCAGTGGGCGTACATGAAGGAGTCCGGACAGCCATTTCTTAAAGTGCTGCAACTTGTAACTGAACACGTAGTTAGATACGATATAAGTTTCAACGACGTAGGTATAAGTTCCACTGCACCAAACTTGCAGAGAAACGGGTGATGCCTAAAATGTACAATCTTTTACAGTTCGGCAACTCCACAACTCCAATCCAGCGTTCATGTGGTTTGGACGAAAAAGTTCATTTCCACCGGCGTTCCCGCCGCCTTTCAGCTCTTACATCGACCCAGTGAAAACGAGCGGCCCATACTAGTTCGTAGCGCGCTGTAACCGCTCACCAGAACACCTACAACTGCCACACACCAGGCGGATTTTGTATCGTGGCCACCCACCTGTTCGCGGAATCTAATCATCTCATGCGTCATGCGTAATACTATTGGCGAAAGGCTTGCTCTGGTCTAGGATAATACCGATGGGATAGATAAATCATCGGAAAAGCGAGAACAAAATGTATTGAAGGTTCTGAGGCTGCATTTCCACGGAGGCATGGCGAATATTTGCTGTACATAAAAACGTGCATGTATCTCCATATATGAAAATAGGACGAGACAGCGCACTGACAGTCGTCAGCATCGGTGCAAGTCTGACTCGTTTGGCAGCCTTGTCACGCCTTGTCACATGGAAAGATATCTATTCAATCTAACGTAGGTACTTATTACAGGCGCGTTGTGAAACAAATTGCAAACCATCGTGGGAAGCCTGGGCACCATTGGTTTGCGTCCATAACTGTCGTATATACCATTCTGGTGATAATTTCAGCGCAAGTGCGGTTTAAACGGTCGATATCCGCACAAGTCGGTTGCGCGCACAAGCTAACCGCACCGATGCTGTTGTACGACTTGACTAACATATCATTTCCTCGTCCCGTAACTGCGGGGAACATCGCTGGCACAAATTGGAGGGTACGTAGGGCCGTGTCACTCGTCGAGTTTCAATCGATGGTTTTGGCGTCTGACCAGCGGTCTGAGCTCCAGGGTTCCTGGAGTAGGCATAGCACGGTACAAGAACCTGAGCCAAGTATAAACAGCACATGGAAACAGAAACTGAGTCAAACAACAAAGCCGGTGTAGTGCTAGAAACTAAGCCGCAGGCCAAGGCTGGTACAAGTACCAGCCACTGGACTGGTCAAAAACATTACACAGTAGCAACGGCCAAGGGAAAACAAGGCCAGGGTAGTTTCGGAGGTCCAGCCAGGCGAAAACAAAATAGTTAGGTTCCAGAAACGTTACAGGCGTGCAGCAGGCTGCAAGATATTGAGCCGAGTATTAGTCAAGCATGGTGTAAAGAAAACAAGAAATTCACATCTGCCAATGCAATATGCTTGAATATTGATGCAGTGACCTAACACATAAACCAAATCAACGCACGGGGCAACAATAAAACACTACATGCTGGCAGCTAGGACAAATTCCCGATCAAACACTAAAATTGCCATGTTTTTTATGGAAAGTGATGAAGCACATCTTTGATGAAGAAATATGTAAAGCCTGCAGTTTTACATATTTCATGATTACTACGACCTTCAACTGGAGTGGCATCCATTCCTGGCACCAACGAGGTGCTGGTGGTTCGACAGCTATGACCACCAGCTGGTCACCTAGCCTGCCTTCGTGACCGCTGCTGTGCCCATACGAGCGAGCACAGGCGGCGCACCATGAGGGCCTATCTCTACCCGAGCCATGGAGAGGAGCAGCCGACTGCAGTGCACATGGGAGGACCAAGGACGCGAGAGGGGTGGGC